CAGGCAGACGCCCCATGCACAAAGGAAAGGTGGGGGAAGAGGAGGGGGCCAGCTGCAGAACTGGGGGCAGGACCCTGGGGGGAAGAGGCAGGCTGCACTCCAGAGGCCCGGGGTGGTGGACCGGCCCCTACTGGGCCACGCCCGTGGCCCCGTGACTCTGTCCTTAGCACCTGCCCGCAGGCTCTTCCTCCAGCTCTGTCCTGCCTGTGGGCCGGGTGCGGACAGACCGCTCCCTCCTGGGCACAGCGCAAGCCCGGGTCACCCGGCACGCGTGGTGCCTCGTGGCGCGCCGATACGGGCACCTGACACCGGTAATCCGAACACGCCTCTCTCAGCCCCTCGGGGCCTCCCAGGAGCTGCCACCCACTACTGTAAGCAGGTGCCCATAGCTGCCCAGGGCCGCTGCACACCCTTCCCCCCTCTTCCTCTCCGGTGCCGGCACTCCTGGCGAAATCTCGAAGGCCCTTCACAAAGCAGCCTCCGCCCGGTGCCCACCCACAGCCCAGGCACCTCTAGGGCCCGTGTCACGCCTCCCTCCACCTGCTGTATTAAGTTGGCCGTGAGGTATTGATGTATTTTTTCTTTCTATTGTCAGAGGGCTCTTTCTAGAAAGCGCCGGCTGGGCCGATAATAGGCAGAAACCCCAAGTAATCAAAACATGCTTTTTTTTTTTTTTGCTATCAGAACATCATGTAAATCAAATGCTCTCAACTCCACTGAAGTCTGGAGTCAGGACCGGGACAGAATGCCTGCAGCCCAAGGCCTCTCCAAGGCCCAAAGGAGTAAGTCTCTCATGGGAATTTCGGGCATGGAGCAGGTCCATGGCAGGGACTGGATTGATTCTCATGACAGATGCCACCAGATTAACACGAGAAAGCCGGCCCTCTGAGAGAATCAGTCCAGTCCCTGCCACAGCCAGGCCGCCTGGAGAGGACAAGAAGCTGCCGCCCTGGCCACGCTGCAGGGCCACGGATCTATGATTTCTGGGCTAGACAAACGCGCTCTTACTGGTGCCCCCAGGAGCACGGAGGAGCATCCCCGTGGGGAGCACTGGTCAGCAAACCCCCCTACGAGGGAGGTGCACTGGTAACCAGCCAGGTCCCCAAAGCGCAGCCCTGGAGCTGTGAGGCCTGGCCCAGCTGCGTCCACACTCACCACGTGGCTGCCGAATAGCAGAGGCCACAAAGGTAGGCGCGAAAAGGCCAGCTCAACCCGGACATTTAATATAAACATGGAGGACTGTGCAAATGACAAATGAATGGCCCGGCACATGCCTGAAGGGAGCAGCCAAAGGTGAGTGAGTCATGACAATTAAGCGGCACACGGGTGCAGAGGACTGGTGGTGTTTTGGCCTGAAGCCCAGACCTTGGGCCCTGGGCTGGCTGCCCCCGGGGGAAGCGCCCCAGCATCTCACGGCCCGCGGCGCATGCAGAATTGCCACACATGACAGGACACCCCAAAGGTGAAGTCAACTTATGCTTAAAGATCTTGAAAATGAACAAAAGGGCCCTGGCCGGTGTGGCTCGGTAGGTTGGGCAACGTCCCCTGCGCCAAAAGGTCATCGGTTCCATTCCCAGTCAGGGCACAAGCGCGGGTTGTGGGCCGGATCCCCAGTAGGGGGCACGCGGGAAGCGGCCGATCAGTGTTTCTCTCTCCCTCTCCCTTCCCCTCTCTCTGAAATCAATAAAAATATTTTAAACAGAAAAAGAACAAAAAGCTTCAACGTATGTTCTAGAAATTGGACAGTGAGTCAACGTGACTTATCTCCCAAGCACAGGCCCTTTCTATATGTATTTTCCAAACGCACGAATTCTTCTGGGGGGAAAAATAACAATTAAGGCTTTAAAAAAACATGAAAGCAGTTCATGAGCAGTTGTCCACAGAATCAGCCAAATAGGAGTTTCTTTGCACAAGTCTAACAACCGTCGTTATAGACTCACAGTGGTTTCTTTAAAGGCAGCTTCTCCAGTGTGTTTATTAGAACACACACTTCCTTTGCTATAATTAAAAGAAAATTCGGCTAAGCCTGAATGGACCGGCCTCCTTAGCATACATTTCTTCAAGATTTTATCAAACCTTCATATGATCATTTTCGAGATGGTTATTTGCAGCTAATTACCCATCACACCAAGACCCCTGGGTTCTCGGCGAAATGTCGCCCACATAGAATGGCCCCTGTGAAATGCACTCGGGTCACTGTCCCAAACACTGGCCACAGCAGCTGGCACCTGCCAGCAGCCCCACATCCCTGCCCATGTCCTGCCGGCCTGAAGAAGCCACCTGGTGGGGGTGACGGTCACACAGATCCCTCCCAAAGCAGGCTAGGGACCCGATCTCGACCGGGTGGGTGTCTTTGGGGAGCATGGGTTGCTAAGCAGCCCTCAAGGAGACTTCCTGGCATTTACTAACCCACCTCAGGGGTAAACTTCAGTGCCACCTAAGGGAACAAATGCAGAACCAGGCATGCGTTTTAAACTGTGGGCGACACCGGAGAGTCCTGTGCTCTCCGGGGCCCCTCCGCCCCCTTCCCGGGGGAGCTGGATCCTACCTGCTCTTGGGCCCACTTCGGCCTCTCCTCGGGAGTCCTGCTCTTGGTCTTGAAGCCTCTCTGGGGGTCTCCGGGGAGCTTGGCCTCGGGAGGGAGGTTGAGCGACTTGGGCCGCCCCTCGTGTCTGCTGGGGCCGCGGCTGGCCTCG